GCTCTCTCTCTCTCTCTCTCTCTCTCTCTCTCTCTCTCTCTCTCTCTCTCTCTCTCTCTGTATGACAGTCTGTGTGTGAGTCTTAATTCCTTTTGTTTTTTTTCTGAAATTGAAATCATATGATGAGAGTGAGTCTTTCTCTCTCAATTTCATCGTTTCAATTGCAAATTATTGTCTTGATTAAATCCTACGATTCGATTAGAATTAGTAACTTTGTTTATGGCTATGATCATACATAAATATGTGTATGCCTGTATATTGTGTATAGATATCGACACATATTTTGTTGGGGGATTTTCATATTCACTGATTGTCAGACAATAAAGTAAAGTTTTGATCTTTTGGAACTATGAGATGATTATACTCAATTATCGGTCTGATATTAACTATTTCTTCCTTGGATTGAATTTAACGGAAAAAGCACATTATCTAATTATGCATTTTTTTTGTAGGCTTGTAGCTGTTACATTATTTTTATTGTACTTTTAACCAGAATTTTTTTTCCCCTCTCACTCATTGAATGGTCATTTGTCTTGTGTAATGGAAAGATGTTAGGCTTTGGCTAGTTATCAAGAGGTTGGGGGTTCTAATTGGAGTGGAGCCACTTTATGTTAGATTTGCACCCCATTCAGTGCTCCTAGCACCATATTTTTTGGTGTACAAATAATCAAATTAAATTGAGAGGAATGAATTAAAGATAACAATTTCAAATGAAATTATCTGATGTAAAATTTTGGTACTGAAGTAACTAAACACTTGTGATGTTTTGTCTTGCGGAGAAACTTATGAGGATATCAGGCTGGCATGGAATAGCCTTTTTCAAATATGAAACAGTTGTTTGTTATGAGTCATGATTTATGAACTGTTATATTTTGTATTCCTGTTGATCAGTGGGCATATTTCCACACTTGAACCTATTCATTGGCATATTATCACACTAGATTACTTGTATGTGTGTTTTAGCATTATTGTTCACCTGTTGTTGCTTGTGATGTTCTTAAATAGAGTTCGATGGATTTGGAGACAGAGAATAGGATAGCTGCAATTCTTTTGAAAGAAGCAGCAGAATTGAGGCGACAAGCTGAAAAGGATGGTGTACATGCTTATTTTCGTGATCCTAAGGTTAGGGGGCGGCCAAATTCACGTTTCCTCACTGCAACTGTTCTTGGTGTACAACAAGGTTAGTTCCATGATTGCTGCATAAATAATTGGATGCTTGTGAGACTGGAATATTAAACTACCCTAAATATATTATGTATGATCGGCATAGAAAGTTGTTTTTCCAGCCATCCAAGGCTTCTTTTTGATTCCCACATCTGAAGAACTTTGGAGTTTTTGACTGTAGTTTAATGGGTTTGTGACCTTGTGTTATATTGGGATAGTGCATAGCCAATACCCGAGGGGGAAAGAAATGTTCCAGATAGTTAAGGAAAAACAACCGCATGCAATGTCAATTGATTCCAGGCTACCCTGTCAAATTATTCCATGCTGAGATAGCCTGTTGTACCTTCACCTTAACCAAGCGACACATGCTGTTAGATTTGGCAAGGATATGGTTGGATTGGGTCATTGTTGCAGTTATTCATGTGGCAACAATTTTCATCAAGAAAACTATGGTCCTATTCTCCATTTATTTTTCCTTTTTAGATAGTTGATAAACTGACACCATATGCAATTGGATCATCTATAAGATCTTTAAATGAGCCCAGTGCATTTGTACCAGCACTTAAATGAATCTAGTAGTTAGTCAAGATTTTACTAAACTTCATCGTTTAATGTGTCATTGTGTTGGCTGTTTATTATGGCACCTAGATGTATCCAACTTTTCAGGGCTCCTTAATTGAGATTTTTTGTCCTTCCAGCAAATCGAGCTGTGGAAGTAAATGAAATGTGGCGGGTACGGCAGAAGGAGCAAGAACTGGATGATAGGCTTAAAGGAAGATTGAGAAACGAGAGCAGCAGCGATAGGAGCCATGGGGACATTAGTGAGTCCCAGAGGAGCAAAGGTAAGAGGCATATAGATGACAAAGCAAATGCTACATTTTCATCCTCACAAAGCAAAAGAGTTGCCCAAGATTGCCATTTAAGGGACAATGAAGGTTTAAAGGATAATGAGGTCGAGGAATTTCTACACTCAAGGTCTTGCTCAGCTACCTCTCTGTGCTGCTTTTTTTATTTTTTTATCCTTCCGTGGGTTATGGTGTGGAGTTGTCATGCTTGTCTGTGCTTATGTAGGTGTGGCTTGTTTTTACTAATGCAACTTGCATAATTGCTGCTGTCAGGGTCAAGCGGGGCAGGGGTGCTGTTGGGTCACGGATGGATGAAACTGGTCCTTACCTTCCTTCTTGCCCAGATTCGAAAGGAAAGCAGTTAGCAAGTCCTGATGTGGGGTTTAGAGAAGGTTGGGAACGTCGGTGTGTTGTTGGTCCAGAAAAGCCTTCATCGCTGAAGTCTTTTGAATCTTCCGATTCTGAAGACAAGTCTTTCCATTACACACGAAAGAAGGCGAAAAATGTTTGCTCGAGCAAGCACCACTCGAGGAAGCACAAATCAAAAGAGAAGTCTAGGGATAAGAAGAAGAAAAAAAGGAGAAAAGATGTAAACATCACAAGTAAGTGTGGTATTGTATGAGGCATTCTTTCCTCACCAACTGTACCTCAACTAACTTGTGTTAGGTTCAAATGATTCTTGTTTGCTTGTAACACCAATGTGTTTACTGAAAGTAGTCTTGGCTGAAAATATGTTAGAAAGATGGTGATTTTAGGGTTAACATGCTTGTAATTCCAACAACGAAATTTGCAATAAACTGAAGAGGCCAATGTGATAAAGTTTATGATTAGAAATCCTCTCAACCCTTTTTTTTTTTTTTTGCCAAAATTTATAATATAGGTTTTAATATATTCTAAGTTTTATTTGGTCTCTTAAGTAAACATTATTCAAATTATTAACGATTTTTTATTATAAACTTGTCCATAATTTAGATGACTCAAAATTAAAATTGTATAATTTAAATCTCTTTTTTGACCAAAATTTAGATAAAAATTTAATCAAGAATAATCCAAATTATTTTTTTGCTCATATTTAGATATCATTACATATCAAAAATTGTTAACAATTTAGATGTTGTTTAGTTAAAAGACTACATAAAAACATATTCAATATTTCAAGGACTAAAATAATAAAATTAAAATATTTAGGATCAAAATAAGATAAACTCTATATTTTAAGACCTCTAATGCAATTAACTCTTTCCAGTATTGAATTAGTAATGGCTCTTTGAATGTATTTGAGTTGCTAATCAAACCAAGTCTCTGAATTAAGTATAGAGAACATAGTTCTTCTTAAAATTTGCCTCCGCTATAATAAATTTCTAGATCCGCCCATGCTTCCCGACTACAAGTTACACCAAGTACAACAGATCAAATATAGTTTTCTCTTTACACATTCCAGCTATAAATTGTCTGACTCCAGCAGTGTGCTGTCCCAGCTAACCATCTACATACATTTTCAGTATAGTCTTACAGCAGGCAAATACAACAAAATTTTCATCACCATCACTATAGTATTTTGTTTTTGTACCAAGAGAATCACTGTCATGAATCCTCAAAATGGTGATCTGTCTCATCGAAGATCTCCTCCTACAGGGTTCAGAATCAATGTCAACATACAAGGATGTATATAAGCGAAAATAGAATAAAGAATTGAGACCAATGCAAGTCATCGGCTTTTACCTGTAAAAGCTCTTCAATGACATCTTCCATCGTTATTAAGCCGACAGCTTCTTCTTCTTCAGGGGGCTGTGGAAGTGGGTTTCCATCTATCTGAAGGATGTCTGAGTACATGTCCTTCGCCCATTTTTTGCTCCTAGGTGTACCCCCCCTATAAGAGTTGTTCGCGCTGTTGGGAAAGCTCTTCCATTTCTGGAGCGACCTTTTGGTCTTTAAACTCTTTTCCAGGGGAGGCTTTTCCCCATCAATGTCTACCTTCACATCCTTTACTGGATCTATGTGGACACACACACACAGACCCACATACACATCAAACTTTTTTAAAAAAGGAGGCTTTCATGATAAGAAAGTAAAACTCAAAGCCAGGAGAAGCTTACTATCAGCAGAGCTCTTGTTTGTAGCCTGGTCCACCATCTTGTTATACTGTCTTACAACAACAGCCATGTGGCTGTGACCTTTCTGAAACTCATTCAAGATGTCATATAATGGCAGATTTTCCGGAACCCTAGAATATCAATCAAATCACTATGAGATTATAAGCAAAGAGCATCAAACATCTCCCAAGATTGTAGTTCAGAAAGAACNCTTTTTTTTTTTTTTTGCCAAAATTTATAATATAGGTTTTAATATATTCTAAGTTTTATTTGGTCTCTTAAGTAAACATTATTCAAATTATTAACGATTTTTTATTATAAACTTGTCCATAATTTAGATGACTCAAAATTAAAATTGTATAATTTAAATCTCTTTTTTGACCAAAATTTAGATAAAAATTTAATCAAGAATAATCCAAATTATTTTTTTGCTCATATTTAGATATCATTACATATCAAAAATTGTTAACAATTTAGATGTTGTTTAGTTAAAAGACTACATAAAAACATATTCAATATTTCAAGGACTAAAATAATAAAATTAAAATATTTAGGATCAAAATAAGATAAACTCTATATTTTAAGACCTCTAATGCAATTAACTCTTTCCAGTATTGAATTAGTAATGGCTCTTTGAATGTATTTGAGTTGCTAATCAAACCAAGTCTCTGAATTAAGTATAGAGAACATAGTTCTTCTTAAAATTTGCCTCCGCTATAATAAATTTCTAGATCCGCCCATGCTTCCCGACTACAAGTTACACCAAGTACAACAGATCAAATATAGTTTTCTCTTTACACATTCCAGCTATAAATTGTCTGACTCCAGCAGTGTGCTGTCCCAGCTAACCATCTACATACATTTTCAGTATAGTCTTACAGCAGGCAAATACAACAAAATTTTCATCACCATCACTATAGTATTTTGTTTTTGTACCAAGAGAATCACTGTCATGAATCCTCAAAATGGTGATCTGTCTCATCGAAGATCTCCTCCTACAGGGTTCAGAATCAATGTCAACATACAAGGATGTATATAAGCGAAAATAGAATAAAGAATTGAGACCAATGCAAGTCATCGGCTTTTACCTGTAAAAGCTCTTCAATGACATCTTCCATCGTTATTAAGCCGACAGCTTCTTCTTCTTCAGGGGGCTGTGGAAGTGGGTTTCCATCTATCTGAAGGATGTCTGAGTACATGTCCTTCGCCCATTTTTTGCTCCTAGGTGTACCCCCCCTATAAGAGTTGTTCGCGCTGTTGGGAAAGCTCTTCCATTTCTGGAGCGACCTTTTGGTCTTTAAACTCTTTTCCAGGGGAGGCTTTTCCCCATCAATGTCTACCTTCACATCCTTTACTGGATCTATGTGGACACACACACACAGACCCACATACACATCAAACTTTTTTAAAAAAGGAGGCTTTCATGATAAGAAAGTAAAACTCAAAGCCAGGAGAAGCTTACTATCAGCAGAGCTCTTGTTTGTAGCCTGGTCCACCATCTTGTTATACTGTCTTACAACAACAGCCATGTGGCTGTGACCTTTCTGAAACTCATTCAAGATGTCATATAATGGCAGATTTTCCGGAACCCTAGAATATCAATCAAATCACTATGAGATTATAAGCAAAGAGCATCAAACATCTCCCAAGATTGTAGTTCAGAAAGAACAATCGGTGGCATCATTACCAAAGTGATAGTATTCCACACACTACGTTTTATCCTATTAAATAGTGTTTTAACCATAACCGAAGACACAAACTAGGCAGAAGATGAAATAAACACAATATCATTTAGGTCTGTTGTCAGTTCTCTAGAAAGCTACTTACCACCAAAAAAAAATATAAACAACGAAAAAGAACGGAAGAAGTTGTTTTCCCCACAGCTAATATAGCAACAATCCATAGCCACAAGCAATAGAAAGTTAAAAGTTTAAATTAATACAGGCGCTTGAACAGGGGAAAAAAAGGCCAAATGGGTACCAAAAAGAGTTTTATCACTGTAACCGTGTAGTCACTACAACTGTCCATCAATGGTCTTCCCCCGAATAGATTTCCCAGAAGCATCTCGCAAAAGTGGGTAAATGTCACACTTGCTGTTTTTCATCTGATGAATCTATACCTGTGTGGAGACCAGTACATGACAAACCTGGAATTAAGACCATATTTGGTAGACAATTAGAGGACTGTTTTTACATAATTAAATGAACAGTTCACACAAACCGTGTTTAGTCCCAATGGCATCCTATGTAAGGCAGACCCCTTTCCCATCGTATCCAACTCAAGAACACCATATGCATACCCAGATAATGTTTGTAACATCTACAGCTTTGTGAACCTGACAGAGTAATTATGTGTAATGGGGCGAAATCCGTGACTTGGACCAGAATAGATTCATGCAAAGGTGGGTTTTATCACAATTGAGAGTCTGCTCTCCATGTGTCGTATAAAGGACCAACAAGCTTGACCAAACCTCACCATCCACCAGGCCACATTACTTATTTCATTAAGGAACTTGAATACATCATTTCTTACTTATATAACTCTAGTCGACAAATATGTAACATACATCTACACAAAGTTTTATAACCATTTATTTGCATGCCTGGAACTAAAGGCATTCGTAAAAATCACTGCTCTAATGCTATTGGTCTACCTCCCACTTTTGCTCTAGTCTCTCTTATCTAGGTGCATATGAATTCAAACTTCCCACATTATGCAAGAACAGCTACAAGAAGCACATTGTTAATGGCATATATTCATGACTTCATCTCTCCTATCAAGTTTACCATGCCATACCATACCTTTAACACTTACAAGCCCATTGCTAAGAATTAAAGATATTCCACACACATTGCCCTCCTAACCCCATCATAAAGCGTTAAATACATTATTCTTTTTACTTCGGTTATATATCTCCCATTTTAGCCATACACAAGCTGTTAGAATTCTTATTTTATGTTTTGAGTAGTACTGTAATTCTCATAATATTAGTTTAGTATAAATAAGAGTGTAGGGCAACATAGCCCTCACACACAATATTTCTCTCGATCTTGCAATCTCTAATCTCAAATTTACAATTTAACTTGGTACCAGAGCTTGATTTGTCTACAATAATCTTTTCTTCAAGCTGGGCATCTTTGATGTTTATGCTCCAACTTCAGGGGAAGTATAATTCTCATAATATCAATTTAGTACAAAATAAGAGTGTAGGGCGAGGTAACCTACACACACATTATTTCTCTCAATCTCTCTTCTCTCTTCTCCTCTCTCAGCTAAACCCCAATCTCAAGTTTGCAATCTAACTCATGTAAAATGAAAAAATTACAAACCATGAGAAGAAATTCCAGTATTTATTGTCCTATTAACACAGAACTTTTAATGGCTGGCTTCACATTGAATAAAAACTATCAGATGATTTTGTCCAACTTTATCCTGTCAAAACTCAGGACAATAGCTGCAAACAGCTAGCTATCCTCCAACCAGAAGAAAAAGAAAAATTGATTTTCTATGCCTGAAGCGCTGTTAATGGCTGATTTTAACATATTTGCACAGTATTATAATGATGATGCAACAAAAAGAGGTAACATAGTTTGATTTCATAATTAGTTGCAGAAGATTATGTCTTCAACTTAAATACTGCAGAATAATATAGTTAACTTCTCATAACACAACTAAATATTTCCTCTTAAACCAACATATGCGAGATACCTTGGAATCCTGCGAATAGTAACATTCTTTACAGGCACTTCATCTTCTGGATGGATGGTCAGTAAATTCTTTGCCTATAGGCCCAGAAAAGAAAAGGTGTAAATCAATAAGAGAACCATGTTATGCCAAGAAAAAAGGAGAAAGGAAAAGGGACCAATGTAAAATTACAAGTCCATAGATGACATCTGATGAGAGCGGAGCTAGGAAATGATAAGGAACAATTAAGTGGGCAAACTAGGCTACACCAATGGATGGTCTATCTAGGTCAAAAGACATGCATGCTGGCATGTATCCATATTGAGAGGCGAGATCAAGCGTGCAACCTTAGTCATAATAATATAGCTTCTCCATATTGTAAGTTATAAGCTGATTAATTCATATCCTACAGTATACTTCCACACACTAGTTCATCTCTAGAATATGGAGTGATTTATAAAGATTCGTCCTCCCCTCCAGGAACCTCCAGACCAATATATAGGCTCTAGAAGATGTTGGATCCTTGATCAGCTTATGCTCTAACCAAGCTCAAAGCCCTCATTTCCAACAAAGCTAACTCAGTAGCTGAAAAAAGCAAAACTCCATTTACACCACTATACACCCACAAAAGCGGAAGAAACATAAACCAAATGAGGAATTTAAGAGGATCTGACCATAGACACAATTTTAATGTACAGTTGTTGATTACGCTGATTTTCACTCTAACAGAAAGACAAGCGCATGCATGGGTGTGCAGACATCATTACCAAGTAGTGCATGTTCAAAAACTCCTTACTTCTATTCTGCCTACCTTTAACAAGCATAATAGAACGGGCACTTTAACTTTAGGATGATGCATACAGGGGCGGAGCCAAGATGCTATCTTAGAGGGGGCAAAAATATGAGGTGAAAAAATTAAGTAATTGGCATATTGCCTTTAGTCAATATATGAGTTAGTGCATTTTGCATATGTTTTGCTCACTTCAAAAATAAAATATTATTTAGTAGTTTACGAGTCGAGTGAACAATTAACTTACTGAAACAAGAAGAGGGCCACCATCCATCCAAATATTCAAAAACCTTAAAGGGGCAATGTAGTGAATTGAAGATTTGTTTCTATAGCAGCACATATATGGAGTGTCCTCATAAGCCATACATTCAAATGTAGCTCCACCACTGGACGCATATGCATGTAATTTCTAGGAAATGGTCAAGTTGCAGTGCTTTAGCAGAAGCATTGGCTCCTGTTTCATCTTCTGTGTTCCAAACAGAACATTTGATTGTTGAACCTCATTAGCAGCACACTGCTTTTACAGGTTCACTAGCAACACACTTAAGTAGGAAGTTACCGGGCATCAAGAGGGTATTTCCATATTAGATTGAGGAGTCTTAGTATGCCGGGACTTTAGACACCAATCTCCAAGAACGAAAGTGTGCGATTGCGGGACTCAGAGCGTGAGAGTGAAGATTTCGAGAAGAGTGCTATTGAGAGCACCTTCGGAGCACCTTATAACCAATAAACAAAAATTATATCCTGTTGCAATGTGTATCACATACTTTCTTCCTGTTTCCATCGTTTAGAAGCTAGTTAATGTTAGGCACTTCTGCTTGTAGCCTATAAAACAATTTTTTTTTTTTTAACAGAACCCATAAAACTATAAAATGTTAACTTTTTTCATGAAAAATAAATGGAGCAAAGTGGCATAAGTCCTCAAAGTTCGTCGGCACATCAAGAGTTTAAGCATTGCAAACTTGCTAGTGACATAATATGTGGCTTTTGTCCTAACTAACACCTGGGTTTTAACTAGGGGTGTCAATCGTATCGGATTAAACGATTATATATCGGGTTAAACTGGTGACGGGTGAAAAACGTATAAACCCAAACACGACAAGTTTAATAAACGAGTAAAAAATTTTAACACGAACACGAACCATTTAATAAATGGGTAACACGATATGACTCGTTTAATCCATTTAAAAAAAATATTATTTTAATAAATTTTCACACTATTTTTTTACTTCCAATTGTACTTTTTTCAATTGAAAAAATTTCAACCCGTAGCTCACGTAAAAATCACACCATAAAAGTTAGCTAAAATGAGAAGCCACTGCCTTTTTTTATAGGCAAGAGAAGTTTCCCCACTCCACTCCTTGTCGATGTGGGATTCAGTGAAAAGGGTTGGTGTTACTGATGGCCAACTGGTCTCCCTCTTCACGTGATGCCTTACTGATGGCTTACTTCTTTTTTTTTAAATGTTTTCTTTACTTTTTTTTTTGACTCATTCATTATTTTATATATATAATTTATTATTTTATTAAATTTATTTAAACGGATAAACGGGTGATAAACGGCTTGACAAATCTCACCTAAACACGACCTGTTTATTAAACGTGTGTGACGGGTCAACCCGTTTACCACCCAAACCCGTTTAATTCGTGTCGAGTAATCATGTCGTGTCAAATTTTGACAGGCCTAGTTTTAACTACGTTAGGGACTTTCATTATAAAGGCAATGCGGCCATCCAACATCCACAGATTTGACTAATAAAAACTGGATATGGCCACAAATTTGCACTAATCGCATGTGTGTGAATCGAATGCAATTGCAACTCACTAAAGACAAGTTAGGGCACTAAGAGCAGCACAATAACATCATCATCTTTCAGTTTGATGTAACTTCAACTTGAGATATATAAAAAGGATACAAACTAAGTGTAGAACCCCCGTATATATAGCCAATGAAAGTTACAATAAGGATAAAAAGGTAAAAAGAAAAAAACTTAATAAACCTTAATAAACTAGGCTGTTATATCNACCTTCGGAGCACCTTATAACCAATAAACAAAAATTATATCCTGTTGCAATGTGTATCACATACTTTCTTCCTGTTTCCATCGTTTAGAAGCTAGTTAATGTTAGGCACTTCTGCTTGTAGCCTATAAAACAATTTTTTTTTTTTTAACAGAACCCATAAAACTATAAAATGTTAACTTTTTTCATGAAAAATAAATGGAGCAAAGTGGCATAAGTCCTCAAAGTTCGTCGGCACATCAAGAGTTTAAGCATTGCAAACTTGCTAGTGACATAATATGTGGCTTTTGTCCTAACTAACACCTGGGTTTTAACTAGGGGTGTCAATCGTATCGGATTAAACGATTATATATCGGGTTAAACTGGTGACGGGTGAAAAACGTATAAACCCAAACACGACAAGTTTAATAAACGAGTAAAAAATTTTAACACGAACACGAACCATTTAATAAATGGGTAACACGATATGACTCGTTTAATCCATTTAAAAAAAATATTATTTTAATAAATTTTCACACTATTTTTTTACTTCCAATTGTACTTTTTTCAATTGAAAAAATTTCAACCCGTAGCTCACGTAAAAATCACACCATAAAAGTTAGCTAAAATGAGAAGCCACTGCCTTTTTTTATAGGCAAGAGAAGTTTCCCCACTCCACTCCTTGTCGATGTGGGATTCAGTGAAAAGGGTTGGTGTTACTGATGGCCAACTGGTCTCCCTCTTCACGTGATGCCTTACTGATGGCTTACTTCTTTTTTTTTAAATGTTTTCTTTACTTTTTTTTTTGACTCATTCATTATTTTATATATATAATTTATTATTTTATTAAATTTATTTAAACGGATAAACGGGTGATAAACGGCTTGACAAATCTCACCTAAACACGACCTGTTTATTAAACGTGTGTGACGGGTCAACCCGTTTACCACCCAAACCCGTTTAATTCGTGTCGAGTAATCATGTCGTGTCAAATTTTGACAGGCCTAGTTTTAACTACGTTAGGGACTTTCATTATAAAGGCAATGCGGCCATCCAACATCCACAGATTTGACTAATAAAAACTGGATATGGCCACAAATTTGCACTAATCGCATGTGTGTGAATCGAATGCAATTGCAACTCACTAAAGACAAGTTAGGGCACTAAGAGCAGCACAATAACATCATCATCTTTCAGTTTGATGTAACTTCAACTTGAGATATATAAAAAGGATACAAACTAAGTGTAGAACCCCCGTATATATAGCCAATGAAAGTTACAATAAGGATAAAAAGGTAAAAAGAAAAAAACTTAATAAACCTTAATAAACTAGGCTGTTATATCTCTAACACTCCCCCTCAAGCTAGGCGCAAAAATGTCAACTAAGTCAAGCTTGACAACGGAATCCCGAAGAATGGATAGAGCGAAAGGTTTAGTGAAAACATTTGCAACCTGATCACCAGTCCCCACAAACGATGGAGTGACAATACCACTGCTAACCTTCTCTTGAAGAAAATAAACATCGATCTCTATATGTTTTATCCTTTCGTATAATACAGAGTCAAAAGCGAGCTGAATAACAGATCAATTATCACAATATAATATAAATGAAAAAGCCACTAGAAATCCCAACTCGACAAGAATCGATCGTAGCCAAATAATCTCACATGTGTCAAGTGTCAATGCCAGTGCCAGTGCCCGATACTCTGCCTCTCCTGACGAGCTAGAGATAACTGACTATTTCTTGCTCTTCCAAGAGATAAGATGAGTCCCTCGAAAAGCACAAAAGCCCATAGTAGATCGACTGTCACACGTTCTTCCATAATCTGAATCTAAATAACAGGCTAGAGAACCAGTTTGAGATCCTGATGCATAGAATAACCCAAGTCCAGGACAAGACTTTAGGTACAGAAGAATATGATAAACTGCATCAAGATAAGGCTAACATGGTTTGTGTATGAACTGACTAACTCGGCTAGCAACGAATGAAATGTCTGGCCTAGTGTTGGCTAGGAAGATAAATCTACCTACCAACCTCTAATAGACAGTCGGATCTCTCAACTCTTCACCTTCAGCAGTAAGCTTCAAGTTTGGAATCATGGGTGATGATACCGATTTGCACCCCAGCATCTCAGTGTCTGAGAGAAGATCCAGAACATACTTTCTTTGAGAAAGAACAATACGCCTGCTGCTACAGACAACCTCAATCCCAAGAAAGTATCGCAAAAATTCAAGGTCTTTCACATCGAAGGCCTTCCCAAGATCTATCTTGACCTACGCAGTCCCATAAACATCATCTCCAGTAATAACAATATCATCAACATATACAAAAAGGATGACACTGTCCAGAAGTATTCCGTCGAACGAAGCAGGTATAATCAGAATGATATCTGGTGAACCCTAAACGTACAACTACATTACTAAAGCAAGAGAACTAGGCTTGTGGTGACTATTTCAATCCATAAAGAGACTTATGCAGTTGACATACCTTTCCAGCATACTCCTCCTCACCACGAACAGTAATTAATTTTGCCACGGGGGTAAAAGTAGCACCAAAATCACGACCTGGTACTTGAGTAAATCCCTTCGCCACAAGCCTAGCCTTGTGATGATCAATAATACCATCCGCAAGAAACTTCAGAGCATAAACCCAGCGACAGCCAATAGACTTCACCCCTGAAGGTAAAGAGACAAAATCCCACATATGATTACGCTAAAGAGCGTCCATCTCCGTCTACATGACAAGAACCCACTGGGGCTCCCGCGTAGCCTCTAAAATAGAGCGAGGAATCGGCGTATCTGATAAGGCCATACTATAAGCTGAAAATATAGGAGACAGATCACCATAAGAAACATAAGCACATATCGGATATAAAATCCTGGCGGCCCAACTATAACAAACAACTGGACGATGATCACGCTGCGGATAACGACGCCCTAAATCATTATCCTCCACTGACAATGTCTCATCAGGTAAAGCAATTGGCTCAGTACTTGTAATCTCATCAGTACTAACAACAGATGTATCAATATGCTCAACGAACTGAAAAGTATTACCTGTATCGCCTAAGGTAGAGGGGACATCAGCAGGGGGATGAGAGCGAGGGCGACAAACATAAACCTGCAAAGGAAGAAAGACTGGTGACTTTGTACTGACAGGGATGAGTGGCTCCGAAGGAAGAAAGACTGATGACTCTGTAGTGATAGTGACCAACGGCTCTGACTTCGGTGGTAATGGAAAATCAAATAGAATATCATCAACTGAAGGGGCAGACACAGGACTGGAAGAAAAATAAGGAATATGCTCAAGAAAAGTAACATCTAGACTGTGATACATACGATGCCTAATAGGATCATAACACTGATACCCCTTAGACTAATGATAATAGCCCACAAAGACACAACAAATCGTTTTACCATCAAGCTTATGACGAGTAGGAGACCAATCTCGAACAAAACAAGTGCATCCAAAAACACGAGGGGGGACCGAAAATAAGACCTAAAAGGAAGCCCTATGCTGAAAAATATAACTCGGCGTACGGTTGCACAAAAAGGTAGAAATCAAAACAGCAAAATGCCAATAAGATTTTGGTACCTCCATGCCTCTAAGCATACAATATACCAACCCTATCAGACTTCTATTTTTCCTTTCAGTAACGTCATTTTGCTCAAGAGTATATGGACAAGTGAGTTGTTGAAGAATGCCCTGAGAAGAAAGGTGAGACACTAAGGCATCAAACACATATTTTTTAACATTATTCAAACGAAGAGCACGAACAATGACATTGAATTGTGTCTTAATCATTTGTAGAAACTATGTGATTATAGGGAGTACATCGGACTTCCTATGTAAAAGGTAGACCCAAGTACAACGGGTATGATCATCTATAAATGTCACATAATATCGAGTGACAAAGCAGTAACAGGAGAAGGTCCCTAAATATCAGAGTGCATTAGGTCAAATGGCTTAGGTGACTAGTACATGCAAGGAATATAACTGGTCCTAACATGTTTCGACAGGGAACATATAACACAGTCAAGTTTACCACCAATACAAACATTGCTTAAAGTAGGAAACAACATATATAAATATTTAAAATTTGTCTGTCCAAAACGATTATTCCATAACTGCACAGTGTGACAAAAAATCATAACGACAATTACCAGGTAAAATACTAGCATGCAAGCTAGGAACAGATAAAGACAAAGCAGATGTAGGTGATATAGGTAGAGGAACTGGTGAAACTGGAGGTGAATTGCCTAGATAATACAGTTCATCTCTCTCATGTCCCCCGATAATAATACTCCTGGTACTCAGGTCCTACAAATAACACGAATCAGGTAAAAACACAACTGCACAGTGAAAATTTCTGACTAACTAATGTACAGATAATAGATTCATGGCCAACTTTGGCACATGAAAAACTGAATGTAATGTAAAGTCATCTAGAAGGCGGACTATACCCCTACTAACAATAGGAGCATGTGTCTCATCTGCTAACTGAACCTGTGTATGTAACTACTCGTCAAAAGTGGTGAAGTGATGGGTCTCACCTGTCATGTGACCATTCGCACCCGAGTCCAGCATCCAAAGGGGAGACGAACTGACACAAGCATGAAAAGTATGAGGTACACCTGTAGTGGTGGCAACAGCAATAGTCTGACTCTAAAAAGTCGAAGCGAACATAAGTATATCCAATCGGGAAGTGATAACATCTATATCACTTTGCCATGGAAGAGCAATAGCATGAGTAACAATAGTAGGTGGTGGTACCTCAGCAATAGCAGTAGTATGGTCGCGAGGAGGCGACTTAAGCTCTAGATAGAGCTTCCAACAAGCAGCCCTGAGATATCCTAGTCAGCCACAATAATCACATTGACGAGAATCCCCCTGTCTGCGCTGATCTAAGGTACCCTGACGCCGCTGGTCCGAGCGCTGCCCACCCCTAACTGAGGATCCTGAACGAGACCCTACAGCAGCTGCAAGGGTTATATGATCAGCCCGAGGAGTCAATGCCGCAACTGAAAATGATGCAATACGGACGCGGCACTCATGCTGCTCAATCATTGCATACACCTCATAAAGAGAAGAAAGCGTCAACATCGACAAGATTTGGGAACGAGGTCCCTCAAACTCATCACGAAGCCTCATAAGAAACTTGTGAATCCTATCCTCCTGTTCTTGAGTATGCAAGAATGCTGCTCCCTCGGGCTCTATCCTCGGAATAACAGCAAGAGAACATAAAGTCTCATACTTAAACTAGCGCCAACTCAAATAGCCATAATAATCCCGAAGGTCATATCTCTCTGCCGAATATATAAGAGCTCTTGAGAAAGCTCATAAACACTTATTCCCCGTCCTGACTGGAAATACATCTCTGATAATGCGCTCCATAGCTTCAGAACAGAGCTATAAAACTGATAAATCCAGCAAACAAATGGCTCCATCGAGACAAATAATCATATCCAAGAATGGTGCAATTCTCAGAGAACCATGCAGAATATCTAAGGTTGGCATCAGCTGGCTTTGGGTGAGATCCCGTTAGCCAACCAAACTTCCCTACACAGCCTAAGAAAAGTTGGTATGAGCAAGACCACTCAACGAAGTTACGACCATTCAACAACTGTGTCGTAACTTTCTTAGAGATCATGCCCGGCAGTGCTGGTACTGCAACTGTGTCAGTAGGTACTGTATACTAGTCAAACATAAAAGCGGAAGTACCAATAGATGTCTCAACGGTAGAGGTGTCAACAATAGGGGTCTCAAGTCCCTTAATAGTAGTCATATCAACAATACTAGGGCACCCGTGATAGAAAAACAACTCTAAAATACATAAAGGGATAAAATAAGAGAGAACAACATACCTCTAGTCGAACAGTAGCGACAGATAAAAAAGGTCCAAAAAGCTCCTAAATAATCAAGTCACGGTACCCAAAAATCCAATAAATATAAATAAATAATCTACTGCATCAAGAGCATATCAACAGAGAAGAGGATTCAACCCCTCTTAAAAGGTCCTACGGTCCCAAATAATCAGCAACACAAAAGGCAAAAACATAATGTTGTGACAAAGAGTGCGAACCAGCAGTGGGCTTGTTCGCTGGAGTGGGTACTATGTTGGGTTTGGGGCTGGACTGGGACAGTTGGTTTGGTGTGGGCAGTCAATTGGACTGATATGTTGGGTTTAAGGGATACTGGGTCAGTCGGCTAGGCTTGGTGGGTTGATATATTGGTTTTATTTATTGGGTTGGCATTTTGGGATTTTGGGTTTGGTGGGCAATTGGTGCTTTATTTATTGAGGGAAGGAGGCAGTCGGTGTTTGCTTACTGGGTGGTTGTTAGTGGGTATGTTCTCGGTGGTTAGGTTTTTGTGGTTTTTGGTTTTGTCGCCGGCAGTGGGCTGGTCACTAGAGGGTTTTTATGGTTTCTGGTTTTGTCATCGACAGTAGGCTGGTCGATAGAGGGCTGGCTGGATGGCTGGGTTTGTCGGTGGCTCCTAGGTAGTGGGGTATAGTGGGTTGGCTTTTTGATTTCTGGTTTTGTCGCCGGTAGTGGGCTGGCTTCTGGTTTCTGTCGATGGTGACAGTAGGGAAGGTGATGAAGGCTAGGGTTAAGGTTAAGATTAGAGTTAGAGTTAGAGATGGAGGTTACGCTCTGATACCAACTTAAGATATGTAAAAGGGATACAAACTAAGTGTAGAGTTCCCGTATATATAGCCAATGAAATTTACAATAAGGATAAAAAAAGAAAAACTTAATAAACCCTAATAAACTAAGCTGCTATATCTCCAACACTACAAAATATGTGCAAATGAAAATTGAAATCAGTTGAGGAGAAAACAAAGGTAAAGCTGTTTTATATAATTAGGTAAAGCAACAAACGAGGAAAAGATGATTTCCATTCATTTGCTGCTTTGTCCAATTAACCAATCACGTAGTCAGATAACATACACAATCTAGTAGATGTTCATTTCCTTTTTCATCTTTATCTTGCATCAGAGAATATCATAAATTTATTTTGGTAGAGTGCACTACTATGTGCAGTTCTGAATTTTTTTCACTTACATCTATGTACATATATTACAATGAATTTAGTTCAAGGCTCGCACTCAGGACTGTTTGCTAATAAGCGAGCTCAAGTCCGCCTTAAATGAGATGAGACTCGGGTTTTTCTTGCAGACCTAGTTAAAACTGATAAAAAATTTCACAATCCGCTCCTTATATGGAGTTGATGCACACAATATTCCCTTTGAAGACAATTGAAAAAATTTAAGGAACAGAGAGTACTGAACTATCTGTTTTTCTTGGCATACAACTCCAGTAGACTAGGTCAGAGATCAAAAGCTGAGAGCCCAATTCTAAATCCTCCCACCATGTTTTATTGTTCCTAAGCTTTCACCTCTAATTATGCTCTATTTGCCTTGTCTAACATTATATTCTCAGTGCTTAAAAGTTCCAAGTCCAAATACATGCTTGAGCATCCTGCCCCTTTAACAGCTGCAGCTCCAAATAAATCTCCTTTGCATTTGATATTAGCTATCATGACTTAAGATACTTTCACAATCTGATGACCAAAATAATTGGTCAAAATCGTGTAAGAGCTCATCTTTCAGTTTGAATTGTAATATTGTTCTAAGCTATCACAAGAATCTGCTTGTATCGACCTGGTCCAAAATTACATAAATGCCTTTCATCCCAATGGTATTTGCATTGGATTAACAGAGACCAAGTTATCGTAAAACAAAGCAGGTCAGACTCGAGAATTGAGTGAAAATATGTATCATCTCTGTAGCTTGCATAACAGAGGAACTACGGAAAATAAAAAAAAGACTACCAGAATTAGCCCAATGATGTTTGTAGGTTGCTCATAATAGACTGGCACCCTGCTATGTCCTTTCTCCAATATTAAATTCATCAAAACCCTGTAGATTAACAATGACACTAATATTACATAGCTGAAAAAGACTGCAAGTTAAGCTTTTCTCAACAAGTTTCAAGCATGCAATACCTGTCAAGCTTGGCATTAATATCAATAGCAAAAGTCTCAGATATAGGAGTCATGGCATCACTAGCTGTTTTCTCGGTAAGCTCAAGTGCCCCGGCAATGATTGTTGTCTCATCATGGGTGAGTTCTCCACCTTTTCCTGCCTGCTTACAAATAGGCAGTAGATTACAAAGCTGAGCATAAAACAAGGAAGCAGGAAGCTCCAGATGAGGAGAGTCAAATTTTACATTGGAATTTGCACAATAGAAATGTAAGAGGCGTTTAAATACGGACAAAATAGAATAATAAGAAGTCTTCATACGGATTATGTAATAAATAACAAGCTATTTATTACATTCCTCACTACAAACAATGATAAGCAACTTTTATACGAGTTACCTAATATGAGAGAGCTATAAACTACATACCTCATTACCATGCATATTAACAAGTGTTTTCAACTCAGCTCTGCGAAAAAGAGCTACATGTCCTTGGCCCAGCAGAAAGTCTAATAACTGAAAATTACAGAAATAAGGATAGTCAGGAAGATTGATTTGTAAGACTAACTAATTATTCTGCTTCAGAAGAGGAATTTCGTAGCGAAATTGCTAAAAAAACAAGTATCACCTTGCTTATTGGATATGCAACAGGAAAACAGATCCACACAAGAACTCGAACAAACGGAGCTACAGCAGCACCAATAGCCAAACCATACCTGGAACAAACAGATTGTGGTATAATCTGTTTGTGCAAATTATTCGCAATTAGTGCATGCAATTTTACCATGTTCATTTCACCAACCAGCTTAAACTATGAATGTTTTAAAAATATCAATACGGGAAAATTCCCAATATTTTATGTTTTCTAACTCTACTTCTGTGGCAGAACAAGCTGACAAACAAATCCCCAACTTATTTGCATACACAACAATAATGCAAAACTTAAACTTATTCACACCAATAATGCACACAGCAATAATGCAAAACTTATTCTTATGCACACCAATAATGCAAGGGATATAAAACTACTCTTCAGTGCATCCGATCTGGAAGAGGTGCCTTTGTGGACCTGATAAGTCACACTGACATACTAACGTCTGTCTGCCTATACCAACTTTGCTAGCTCTATCACAAATGCAAAAAAAACAAAAATGTGCAAGCCCTCACCTCACCAAACAGAAGTATCAACGTCACTGAAATCAGAATAGCACCCCAAGCTGAAATCAGGCTATCAAGAAAAATGGGAAGTGCCTGAGGAAAAAAAACAACCATCTCAAATATTGAGTAAGTTTTAGTACGATTCATGAAACAGTTTGTTAGAAGACATCGCAACGAGGTATACCTCCATAGCAGCAGCATTGCAAATAAGCAGAGTGCAAAGCAATAAATGCTGACTTCTGACAACTGGCAGGATCTTCTCTGTTTTGACAAAGTAGAAGCTGTAAATAAGAGCACATCCAATCACACTAAAAAGAAATACAATTCTGACACGAACAGCTCAAACTCAAACACCACCCAGTATTTTCCATCGTTATCCATTACAAATTAACAGCTGATTATCCCTTATCCCCCAAATGCTTGCCTTCTTGCAGTAAAAATGCAAATGGATTCACAACCAGCAATGACACGCTGATGTACGACAACAGAAAATTAATCAAGAAACCAAGGATTTAAGGAGAGATAAGGAGTAGATTGATTAGGGTTTTAGGGGAAACGCCTGCTCAATTTCCTATAAGGCAAGGGGAAAACGAGGTTTTTGATTGAAAAAATGAACAAAAAAAGAAGTAGCAGAACAACTTTCTGGAAACACTGCTTCAGGCAATGTCTTAATCCTCTTTTCATAGTCATTGCATCAGGTGATATTCAGCTAACAGATATAAATGTTAATGGCTTCCTATGATTTGCAAACTCCTAAATTCCCACAGACTCACATCTACAGCCATTTCCAAAATCCAAACCTTTTGGTGTACTGTCATAATTTCTAACTAAAAAAAGAGCATGTCCTTGGAAATAATGCAAATTAAATCGAGAGTGGTGTAAATAAGCTAATTCCCAGGTAGCAGTCCAAAAGTGCAATATGCCGTAACTGATAAAAATATGTCTTTGAAACTTTAAAAGGAAGAGTACGAAAATCCAAGAAACCATCTCGAGGGATGCTAGGGCTGCCTCCTCAACACTAAAACCTATTACATTTGTAGGCTAAGCACTCAAAATATTTTAATGGTAACACTACAGCACTCACAATAAAAACATCAATCAGGCGCCAAGTTATTGATGGCTAAAATGAAATAATGAGGTAGAAGGGCCACCAATAACAAGAATAGTAATCTATTATATGCTTCCAAAGATGTATATTACCAAAATCATAAGATAATGAAGCAAAAATGCTCCCAAGGTTGGCAGAAACAGGTGATACAGAAAGCAGTAACACCCAACATAACAGAAAATTCAGCTGTGATTAGTTTGGTTCACACTAAGTTGCAATGTAACGGCCATTTATTCCTCAGGAATTGAGTGCTGAGATCAACCAGTACTATTAGAGAGACAACATGCAGTATCTGGAAAGGGTGTCATCATAGTTCAAAGATAGGCCGACTTGTATCGGCGCTTCCCATCCCATTCTCCATTCCGTGTAATCTCCTGAGTCTCACTATACTGTGATTGACTTGGAAACGTCTCAATCGACCCAGTCAAATCATCCAAGTTAACATGTTATGAATCCATTAGTAGAACTGACCACTGAAAATCGGCTTGCAAAAGAGAGATGTCCCAGAGTTCATATATACACATTTAATCTTATACTTACTCGATGTGGGATCGTAATATTCCACCACATTTCTGCACCTGACTTCCACGGTAGCCCACTCTATCGTCAATGTCACTGGCCCAAGGGTAGCTTTTTCCCTTTGGCGATACGCTTACATAATATCAAGTTATCTTCATCTAACCTATTGGTCACAACTTTTGTAACTCGACCACAAAGAGCCGCAGTCCATACAGTGTTCGATCTCATACCCGACATAGTGGTAGCTCTGATACCAATTATTATGAACTCATAGGTAAAAATTGCAAGAGAAGAGTATTCAAGAATTTATATACACACATATAGCTTTATATTTAACTAATGTGGGATCCTAACGAAGACATCAACTCCAATTGGACCCAAATATCTTGCCCATGCGTGGGTTCAGAACCGATTCACACCCTCCCAGTCGATGATCAATATTGCAACCTTTAACCATGGCGATCATTGTCCGCGGCAGGATAACTAATACTATCGGAATACAACCAAGGACTGACGGAAATGCCTTTCAACCCTTAACAATTAAACTAAATTCTTATAACTTGAGCACATTTAGTGAAAAAAAATTAATGAGCACGAAATTAGCATGAAATAAGAACCAATCGAAAGATTATAACAGCTAAGAAAAGATATACCAGCATGTTTACGATCCTTGGGGGTTCCGGACTTTGCTAAAACCTCAAGATCAACCAGACTCATAGACATGAGCCCCAAAGTAAGCCCAGACATCATACCAGCGAACAACACAAGGAGCACAATTATCAGTATATGGATGAAGAACTCCGTTTCGCAACATTTGTACTCAACAGCCATTCAACTACTATCTCTTCCTCTCTCTCTGTCTCTGTCTCTCTCTCTCTCTCTTCGTCGTCAGACCCTAAAAAATCCCCAAATAATGTTACAAAAAACAGCAACTACAACTCAAATACCTTCACGTCCAATGCTTCAATGAAAGCCCTGACTGCTGATAAAACATAAATTGAAATTCAAGATGAAATTAGAGATAGAGAGAGAGAGAGAGGGAAGGAGAGAGACAGAGGGAGAATGTGTTTATGACAACTTACAAATCATAAATACAGAAAGATGAGAGAGAGAATTTCGGACAAGTGCTTGCATATATACGGCATGATGACAATGATGTAAAAAAAAAATGGAGTTTGCGAGTAGATAGGAGATTCGCCGGCGGCGATAATGACAGGGAATCGTACCGTCGGCGATACTGCCACGAGAGAAAGCTTTGTACTTGTGTGACGGGTTACCTTCCTCAGGTGATAATCACCTTCCGTTATCTGGTGCGGTTTTGATCTCTGCAGTTCTGTCCTTATCGCATATAATGATTTGGGGTTAATAGTTTGCGTGCAAGATCCTGCACAGTATAAAAACGAGAACAGATCTCTCTCTTAGTGAACTCGAGTGAGCCAGTTGAGTGACCAACTAGGTTGCTTGGAACAGCCTGCGAGGTCCGGTGGTAACTTGGAACGGCAACGGGAAACCCTGAGAGAGTAGCGGAAGAACGGTCCAGGAAGGCTGAAAGAAGTTCCTGGAACAAAGAAGAACAAGTTAGAAGGGCGCCGGAGTATTTTCTGGCGTATTCCCTCCGACGATCTAGTCAGTCTTTGAGAAAGAGAGAGGAAGGAGAAAACACTGAGTGTGTATTGTAGTAAAGAGTTTTTTGTTGCATACCCGTCTTGCCTTTTGCAAGGAGTATTTATACCTCAAAAGCTCATGATTGCTGTCAGTGTAGTCAGTAGGTGATCATTAGGTACAGGCAGTGTGCGCACTGATTCTGATGAGGAATGTCTTCTCTTCTTAACTGCTCGGGGTCCCGAGCAATCAATGCTGGGTCATCGGGATGCCGACGGTACAATGTACTCCTCTCAGGGAGGATGCAATAAATGCTCTGTATTAGGAGCATTTATTGTCTTTCATTTTCGAGCCTTACCGCATTGAATGCGGTCTCATCAAGGAAATGGTGTAATTAATAGTTTGTTTTCCCAAGTCGCGTGTCAGCAACGGCATGCGGTTTCTCTGTCTTCGATGTGATATCATATGTCACGCGTCCATCCCTCATTGGCTGTGGCCCCTGCATTCCAGTACGTTCTGACACTAATTGTGTAAGACGAGATCATGATGAATAGCCTAGGCTAATGACCTGTACGTCAATAGCTTATCCTGGAGTAGAGGAGGCGTCTAGGACGAGTACACCTCGGCACCGAGGGAGGGATACCGACCGAGGTACCATATCAGACCGAGGCCACGTGTCAGTTGTAAAACATACTGAATGCATGATCCTATATGACGAGTACCTCGGGGGCGAGGACCTTTCATGCGCCGATGGTGCTTGATCTTATTAACAGTGTTTTAGTAATGCCGAAGACACGTGTCTTCATCATAGAGTATTTCAGAAAAGTCCCATCAAATAGTAAATTTCGGTCGTCCCCTAAATTTATCAATTTAGTCCATAAAATATTCCCCTCATATTTATATAGTTTCTATACAAACAAATTGCCATAAAATATTCCACTTATATTTATATAATTTCTATACAAACAAATTGCTAAATTTTTTAAGAAAGTAATTACGTATTGATCACGTAATATTATTTAAAATAATGACACGTGGTCATTTTTTGTTAAAGAATTTAACAGAATGTCGGGCTCTGAGACACACGAATTAAATATTGTAGAAACCAAATTAATAATATTCATACATTGAAGGTTAAATTGATAAAACTTGCATATTTTAGAAATTAAAAATATTATTAATTCAAATTTTTATATTTAAAAAATTATACTTTGACCACTTCAATTATAAATTTAATAAAAAATAATTTTATTTCGTCTCCACGCAATGTGATTTTTTTATTTTGTTTGGAATTCAAACAATAGGTACAAAATCACACACTTTTAAGGTGAGAGATTCACCATGGATATTTTTAAGACAAAAGGTCCATAAAATACACACTTAGCAAAAAAATTCTTATGTTCCGTTTGGTAAGATAGAAAAATGAAAGGATGGAAAGTTAGAATGATGAAAAGTTTGAGAGATAAATAAAATATCATATTTAGTAAGGAAGAAAAATAGAAAGGATGAAAAAATGGATGAATTAACTTTCTTTTCAACTCACCAAAATTAATACCTCAAAAATCAAAAGAAAAATGAATGAAAAACTTTCACTATATCGTATCACCACCGTATTCTATCGCACACGTATCCTATCAACACCGCACACCTCCCCTAATGATAGGTCGTTATTCCCTTGGCATTGGGCAAACATTAACCCCAATACATTGGCCTTACAACTTTGCAAAGATCTTATTTTTGGTAAACAATAATACATATCTGGTCGTTGGGAAAAAAAAAAGTTAAGTGTATAATTAAGGGGATTAAAGTGTAATTTACTATTTGAATTTTCTTATCTATGTACCATCATTTTCAATTTATGGTTACAATTTTAACCAAACTATGGTCTTTTTATAATTTCTTTGACTTTGAACATCACTTTTTCACTTTTTCATCTAGTCTTTTTCTAACTTTGTGCTATCATTTTATCTTATGATTCTAATTTTGACCAAACCATGGTCTTTTTTGGATCAAAAAAATTCCTATTGGTGTTAACCGTCCCGTGTATCCCGAAGGAATGGAATAAGGGATGGTTTTTATTTTTACTATCTTCGACTTTTTGTACTATCATTTTTTTATTTGTATTTCTTAATTCTAAATGTTGTTTATAACCTACCGTTTTTCCTGTAAAAAGTAAATTTTTAATTAATGTTTAATGATAACTTTGAAAAAATTATTTAAAAATCACGGAGCATAGAAAATAAATTAAAACATAAAATAACTTGGTAATTGATTTTTGATTTCTATACATTTTAAAACTTAAATCGATGATTTATTATATTTGTGGATGTTTTTATCACTGTTGTGATAATTATTTTTACCTATTTTATTCAGTACCATAATAGTGGTAAAAATAATCACAATAATAGTAAAAACACTTACAAATGTGGTAAATGTCAATACAGTACTAATTTTTTTAGTACCGTAAAAAATTGCTAAACGTAGGATAATATTATGGTATCAAAAAAAAAAATGGTATCGTACCAAAAATTAATATTTTTAAGGTCAAGTTACACTTTTTTAAGATAAAATTATAATTGATCAGGAAATATTCCTAATCGATCATGCCACGAAATCGATTTAGATATTTTTGGATACACTTCCATTGAATTTGTCTAAATTGTAAATTCCACCATAAATATACAATAGATGATTTTTCACTTAAAACTACAAAAATATATATGAAACAATCTATTTAGCCTCGTTTAATTGTCATATTAAAAATAGACAGATTGGATAAAATAATGCAGTCTAATACAATACAGATGGATAAAAGACAAGATTAAATAGAGTATTAAAATAATATGTAATTTTATCTACTGTTCGACAATACACAACATAAACGTTGGATAGTAGTTATTTAATTTAATCGGTTGTTCAGTCAAGTAATTATTTTATCATATTAATATTGAATTAATAAAAATACTCTCAATCAGTATTTGTTACATTAACGATAACTTAATTTTATCAGTTAAGGGTTTCAATAGTAAAAGTATAAAATAATACATTTGAATTGGATTATAACACCACAAGCTATCATATAAAAGATATATGATTAATATACATTTTTGAAATTAATATGACATTAAATTTGTTTATCAAACAAAGTATTATACCTAATTAAATAAAATATAAAACAATCTAATATCTTATCCTCTCATAATACGTTTACCAAATGAGCCATTTGTATATTATTTGGAGTTCTTTCTACACTTAGCTCTCTCTCCATAGAATATGCTACCTCTCTCCATAGAATATGCTACCGGTTAACCCAAAAAATAACTTAAATAGTAATAAAAATGAATCTTAAAATTAGATGTTCTGGGTTTGAATTTTGATAATTTTTTAAAGTTTGACTAGAAATTTATTTTTTTTAAATACCTTAATTTCAACATGGAATCAAAAAAAATAATAATTAAAATATACATAAATTAATTCAAACACTTTTGAACGCTAAACTAAAAAAGAATATGCCACCGAAGGTAGTTTGATTATGTGATTATGCCGCAAAAGCCTACATTCAATGCCGGGAAGTTTCGACACGCAAACCCCGGAAGTTTCCATAAATTACAAAAACTCTGAGTTGAAAATCATTACTCCTTCCATTTCTAAATATCTGTCGTTTAAGATTTTTACACAGTGATTAAAGAAACTATTAAATAGCTCTAGTATGAGTAAAAAATAATTGCACAAGACTAAAATACTCTTATTTAATAGTATTGAAAAGAAAAAGAATATGAAAAATACTTAGCCTGTACTTAATTTATTAAATGCTTATTAGAAAACAGAGATAAGGATAAATTTGGAAGAAAAAATATTAATTATGCTTTGATTTCATAAAATGACAAATATTATGGAATAAAAAAAATTAAATAAAACGACAGATATTTAAGTTTTGGAGGGAGTACAATAAAGAGGACGCAGTTAACAATAATACTAATGTAATGTAGTCCTTAAACATGTTAGATAGATACGTACGGCCATGGAGACAAAAAGTTTGATAGCATTCACAAATCTTTGGTCATTCCTCTGAGAATTTGTTCAAACTGGGATTCTTATGCCTGGTCTAATTTAATATCATGAAAGCTACGTCAGCATAATTTATTAAATTATTTACCTTAATAATTGGCGAAATATTATTTATTAGGTGGGTCCACTAATCTCACTCTTAACGAAAGAATTGACATATATCACAAGTAGAACCCACTATAATAAATATATGACGGATATTTTGGGAGGCTCCTCTATGTTTATCCTTTAGAGGGTCATCATGGATTAACTTGTAAGCAACTCTCTACCGACTTTCTATAAATAAGGGGAGAAATTTTTGCATGGGTTATACACACTACGTGGTAGGCTGATGTGGTATGTACACCCAATCACAAATTGACATGAGAGCAAGCTATCAGACACAATACAGTTCAACATTTAAACAATGTTTCCATTAACTCCCGTTAACTGTCGTTATCAAGTACAAGTTCCAAGAAATTTTTGCAGACATTATCAGCTCTATCATGAAGCTTGTATCCACTTTACTGTACACAACCCAAAATTCAAAATTTTAATCGAGTAAAAATTCAAAAATTCTTAACCCATCTATGTCACTTCTCTCCACCTAGTCTCTCTCTCTCATCGCACAGTTGATCTTCATCACTAATGGTTTCTCTCTTTCTGAATGTCCAAAGGAAATAAAAGGTAGAGGCAGTTGACAGAGCGTTCTTTACAAAGTGGGTCCACCAGGCCATTCCCAATGAAAGAATTTACATATATCACACGTAAAATCCACTATAATAAATATATGGTAGGTAATGAGTACTTTGAAAAACTAGTCTATGTCTATCCTCCAGAGGGTCATTATGGATTGATTGGTAAGCAATTCTCTACTGATTCTCTATAAATAGGGGTGAAGACCCAAAGATAAGGAAGTCTTAAGTATAAGCACCTCAGCTCTATATTTCGCAACACACACACCTATATTATTTTTCTAGTTTATACGCTCGCTTATTCAGGTATTGATCGCAATACTGACTTGGATATTGGAGGGGCCTCCCCTGGCTCAACGCCGGGAGTTCCTCTAACCTCTTTATACCTTACAACTCATGGATTGGATGGTACTCGAAGACTAGGGGCACACCTCGACATATTTCAACTATTAACGAATATTTACCCATGCAATAATGTCATTAGATTGACTATAAACTCCATTTAAAATTGACCTAATGTTTAATTTAACTATGATAACATATTAAGTCAACAAATTAAGTCTAAACAACATTACTTATGAAGTATAAGGACAACAATCCGTGTATATTCATTGTTGTTTAATTATTATTCATATCGTAATTCGACCTTATTGATAAAATCTCACATATGACCACCTATACAATAATCAATGTAAATAAATTTTTTTTTCTTTTTGCATCCAACGATTTGGACATATCATAATTTTGGGTTAAGGTACATATAAATGTGGTTCGACCTAAAATATAAAATTATAGGAATGTTTGATACATTGATATCTGATAAATTGAAAGGCTTTAAAAGAAGTGTCACGTGGTAGAATTTGAAGAAATACGAGAGATGATCAACCACAACCTTATTTGAAGAGAAAATAATTGTTTGAGAGTTACAAGTTAGATAATCATCAATAAAGACAAAATCGTCAAAGATAGTGACTATAAAAGACAGACAAGGAGAAGGTTGAAAGATACATTCAAATCTCCACAAGACCCATGATTTAAGCATTTTTAAGAGTAGTGTTAAATTAGTTTTAGGAAGTAGTTATTGTTGTAATTAAGACTGTTAAATCAGTCTTTCTTTAACTCAAATTCCTTCGGCTGGATTAATAAATGAATTCTTTTTTATTAGTTCATTGTGTTGTTTGTTTATCCCTTTAAAATTCATCAAAGGAAGTTCTAAAATAACACGATTGAACACATCACAAGCAACTACCTGAAAACTGTTTGTCAATTGAGCTCCCTCCATCGATAACAATGGGTTTTGGAGCAACAATATGTCAATTAATCGAGAGTCATTCTAAGCACTTTTTTAATAATGAAGAATTATCTAAACTGCACTGATACATTATAACGAGGTGTAAGAATGACTAAAAAAACAAAGTAATCTTACCATAACTTAGAAAGAAGAGCGAAGTGATTCTACTGTAACGTCAAAAAGTCATTTATAGCGAGTTGAACAATTTAAATTCAAATCTTCTATCCAGAATCCCTCTACATAAAACAACAAAGGCTTCAAGTGTTGCACACTATGTAATCCTAACTCATATATTACTCACCGGAGGAGGGCACGGATTGGGTCGACCTCCTAGACTAGCTAGCCAATCTTGAAAAATAAGGGTTTAGGCTAAATTTTTCAGAGAAATTTAGAGTTCGATCCTCCTATATGAACTTATTTTGACTTAAATTCGCTAAATAAACTTATTTGTTATAAAGTCCATTTTTTGTCAGTTTTATCAATATCTTTTTTTTTTTTTAAAAAGGGGGTGCAACACGAGGACTTTCTAGGGGGTCACCCATTCTAGTACTACTCTCGCCCAAGCACGCTTAACTGCGGAGTTCTGATGGGATAGTATCTCTTTTCTTTTAAAAGTGAAGTAAAACTCAAAATTAAAAACTTATAAATTTTAAGAGTTTGATTAATATTAAAAAAATTTCTCTCTCATATCTATCTATATCCATATATATGTTATGACTATGGCGGTGTTTAATAAAATTGAAAGCTGAATTTGTGAACTGTTTGGTATCCACTTAAATTTAAGTACTAAACTGTTTGATAATTACAAAAAGCAGATTTTTGAAAATAAATTAATTTTCATTTTACCCTTCTACTCTTTACTTTGAAAATTTTTATAAAATATGTCATAACATAAATTATAATCACTATTAATTATCATATTGTAGTCTACATTTAACAAACATCTGATCAAAAAAATAAATAAATAACATCTGAATAACATAATAAGTAAACAATAAAATCTTATCAAAAAAAAGAAGAACAATAACTAATACTTGTGTGTGCGTGTAACTATGTGTGTGTACAGTGCGTGCGTATGTGTGTGTGTAATTATGTATTATGTATATTTTTGTTGCAAAAGACAAGGGAATGAGAAGAAGAAAAAGATTTATCTGTTACCAGCTGAAGAAGAGATTGACAAGGAGGATAGATTGGTTAGGGGTTTTGAAAATAAGATTAATTAGAGTTTTAATAGAATTGTAAAATATTTCGGGATATAATTGTCATATTATAAATATTATAAAAGATAGTTTTGCTGAACTCTTTCAACTTTCAAAATTAAGTAAGGAATTTCTTACTTAATATTGTAACCTATTTTTAAGGAGCACTTAACATATTAAGAGAGTTTAACTTTTTATTATCAAACAGACTTAATTAATAAGTGCTGAATACATTCATTTTAAATGTTGAATTTGATTTAATTAACACACCATATATATATAGTAACATTAAAAATAAAAAATAATAACATTCAAACATAAAAAAAATTATCATTTAAATACAAAAAATAGTAACATTTAAACATAAAAAAATAGTAACATTCAAATATGAAAAAATAGTAACATTCAATATTAATATTTTAAAAAATAACAATAGTAACATGTTCAACAAAAATAGTAATATATTCAACAAAAATAATAACATGTTTAACAAAAATAGTAATATGTTTAACAAAAACAATAACATGCTTAACAAAAATAATAATATGCTCAATAAAAAAAATAGCAATATTAAATATTGAACAAAATTAAAAAAAAAATAATAGCATTCAAACCTATAACCAAATAAAGAAGCTTTCAATTCTTCAGCATCCAACAAAATAATACTGAAAAAGTAAGAACATACTCAATAAAAAAATAATAACATGATCAACAAAAAATGTAGTAACATGAAACATTAAAAAAATTTAGAGATTATTTATCAAAAAAATAAAAATTAAATTGGGAATTAAATTAATAACTCATTAGGCTAGTTTTTCAATTTTTTTTTTTGCTAAAAACCAACGACATAGAAGTTCATGCTAATCAGAACACAATAGAAGATATGATAATTGTTGATGATGTTTCAAACCCTAATAATTTTGATGCTATGGAGGAAGAAATGATATCTAAGGATAAATATTTGTTTTACTGGATTGATGATCTTCTTTTAATGAGAGAGAGAGAGAGAGAATATAAATTTCAATTTCAATTTCAGATTGAATTAAGGGATAATAATTTTTAATTTAAAAAATAATTTAAAGTTACTTTCAAGGTCTTTATTTCCTTGTCAAATTCAAGTCATTATAAGTCCATCTAAGAAAACTCAATTCCAATTTTCACAATTTTCTATTCTACCACCATGTCACGAGATATAAGAAAGTCTAATTCCAAGGATTATATCTCTTGGGCCCATACAATAAGGCAAATGCAGTAGCCACAGTTTGATGGTGAACACATTGTCTTGTAAACTAAATTGTTCACCTCGTAAACGGGGAAGACATAAAAAAATTAGGAATAACTCGTGCCTGATGGCACGGTGCGACTAAAAAAAATCGAACATTAAATTTGAACGCGAAATAATCAAACACTGAATTCGGACACGTACTAAACTGAAAACTTAAACTCGCCCTATATCACGTGTCAGAAGGCACTGTATATAGTTCTTAAACACGAAATAATCAAATAATGAATATAAACATGCATTAAGCTGAAAATCGTTTTGTCATTTTAATGTCATGACTTTAGTGAAATAAAAAAGTCAAAATGTGGATTGACAGAATATCCTCTGAAACAAATATATCAACATGTCTACAAAATTTATATATTTCATAATCATAATCAAAACTTATAGTTACAGTTCACAAACCGAGTTTAGCCCACCAAATGTGTAAGTAGTTTTGCAACCAATCAAAATTCATGCTAATTTACAAACCCAAAATTCTCAATTAATCGGTACACACAATAGCATTTTACAATTTTCCCATAAAAGAAAATGTATCAAGAATAAAATTTTCGAGGGCAAAAAAACGAAAAAATATCAACCACACATCAAATTCCAATGCATATCAAATGTGTGAACAGTAAGAGCCTTTAAAATGGGAGTGTGTGAACAGTAAACCAATGCATATAAATGAAGCATTAAGCTTCAATCGACAGTGAAACATTAAGAGCCTTTAAAACAGGCTTGTATCTAGTAGCAGAGGGTACTTTGTGTGAACAGTAAACCAATGCATATCAAATGTAGGCTTCATTTTCAGTGCAAATTAATTAAATCGAACAAAAATTATAACCATTTTTTGGCCAATTACCTTGTCAAATGTAAAAATTCTATCAATGTGGGAATGAACACCTGTTTTAAAGAGAGAAAAGGATGGATTTTTGAAATTTAAGATGATTGTCCACATCTCAATTGGTTTAATGAAACAAAAGAAACATAATTAACACAATCCTCGAGCTGAAAAAACAATTTCATGTCGCCTTACCCAAACACTGTAGAACCCCATTCCCACCAAAAAAAAAAAATAACCATGAAGAAATGCTCTCCATGACACCGTCACACGGGGAAAAGAAAAAGAAAGTAAAGAGATGAATAGTGTACTATTTCACATAATCAAGTAACAGTAGCAACAACAAAAACAAAAGCTCTCAATAGTCGATGCCAGACTGGGCCATTGTCATCCCACCACCTATATCATCTTTTCCATTGTACGTTTTTTTACTGTATATACTTCTATAGAAATCTCACCCATTTCCTAAACCCACCCCATTCTCTCTCTCTCTCACACACACACATACACACACTATCTCTATTGCAGTTTTGCTTACCTGCAACAGGCCTTTTATCATCTTTGAACACCCATTGCTACCTCATCTGTTTTAAACCTCATAACCCTTCAGAGACGTTAAAGTTGGGTCTTTGAAAATATAGACAAAGAAAACCATATACTCTAATAGCAGAGACGTTAAAGCAAGTCAAAAAAATGTTCACCCAAACAAATGCAAAACCCATGAAGACGTTAAAGCAAGAAAAAAAAATGTAAAGCACACAAACAAATGCAAACCCCATGAAAATGAAGACGTTAAAGCAAGGCAAAAAAATGTAAAGCACACAAACAAATGCAAATCCCATGAACATAACAAACCCAAAAAACAAACCAATTTTTTGAAGGCCAATGGTCTTTGCCCTTCTTGATCTTCACCCAAAAAATACAAAGATTGACATTAGACAAAATAAGTTCACAAAAAATCAAAGGAGAAGATTAGCCAACTCATTGAAGCAATAATACAAACACTTGATGGGCTTTGGCTTTTTGCAAAAGAGGGATGGGGGGAGGGTGTTTGCGCACAGGGGGAAGAAGGGTGGGGGTCTGCTGAGTTGCTGGGTCTTTGCGCAGAAGAAGGATGAGAGGACTATGGCAAAAGAGCGAACTCAGTGGCGGTGGCTATGGCTGTAACGGTGGCGGTGGCTCTAGCTGCAGCGAAGTCGGTGGCTGTGGCTCTAGCTGCAGCGAAGATGGTGGTAACAGAGACAAAGAGAAAGAAAGGAGTGAAAAGGAAGGTAAAAAAAGGGGGGGGAAGGATGGATGTAGCCGTTGGTTGAAGCTCAAATTCAAGCATAATTCAGCCATTGGTTGAAGCTTAAATTCCGCTGNACCTTGTCAAATGTAAAAATTCTATCAATGTGGGAATGAACACCTGTTTTAAAGAGAGAAAAGGATGGATTTTTGAAATTTAAGATGATTGTCCACATCTCAATTGGTTTAATGAAACAAAAGAAACATAATTAACACAATCCTCGAGCTGAAAAAACAATTTCATGTCGCCTTACCCAAACACTGTAGAACCCCATTCCCACCAAAAAAAAAAAATAACCATGAAGAAATGCTCTCCATGACACCGTCACACGGGGAAAAGAAAAAGAAAGTAAAGAGATGAATAGTGTACTATTTCACATAATCAAGTAACAGTAGCAACAACAAAAACAAAAGCTCTCAATAGTCGATGCCAGACTGGGCCATTGTCATCCCACCACCTATATCATCTTTTCCATTGTACGTTTTTTTACTGTATATACTTCTATAGAAATCTCACCCATTTCCTAAACCCACCCCATTCTCTCTCTCTCTCACACACACACATACACACACTATCTCTATTGCAGTTTTGCTTACCTGCAACAGGCCTTTTATCATCTTTGAACACCCATTGCTACCTCATCTGTTTTAAACCTCATAACCCTTCAGAGACGTTAAAGTTGGGTCTTTGAAAATATAGACAAAGAAAACCATATACTCTAATAGCAGAGACGTTAAAGCAAGTCAAAAAAATGTTCACCCAAACAAATGCAAAACCCATGAAGACGTTAAAGCAAGAAAAAAAAATGTAAAGCACACAAACAAATGCAAACCCCATGAAAATGAAGACGTTAAAGCAAGGCAAAAAAATGTAAAGCACACAAACAAATGCAAATCCCATGAACATAACAAACCCAAAAAACAAACCAATTTTTTGAAGGCCAATGGTCTTTGCCCTTCTTGATCTTCACCCAAAAAATACAAAGATTGACATTAGACAAAATAAGTTCACAAAAAATCAA